AAAACCCCAGCTACAGAATTATCAGAGAAGCCATAGAGATTGAAAAAAGACCTGAAAGCATGAATAGAAGAGATGACTCCACCAGACTCTCAATTATTTGGAAGCCTGCACTCACAAACAAAAAAATCTCCACACCACAAGCCAGGCAAACACCTGGGCACAAACAGACCCCCGATACCTCCAGCTCAAACAAACCCCAACTAGGCACCCAGATGAAACCTAGCTTCCTAATAAATGATACTCGAAGCCAAGCTGCACTAAAAGCCTCCAATACAGGAAACACAATGTTATCAGCCAATCAAGACAAAAAAAGCTACAAAACCGACAGAAGATATTAAAAACACCAATCAAGCAGAACACAGCAAACTCCACCGGAAGCCCCCACTTTGATTAAAGATTCTGAGCCACTAAGTGTAGGTTCACAAAGGAAAGCTGGATCAAAATTAATGTAAAGTGCTGTACAAATGTTGGACTTAAAATGGTGGAAACTAAAATTATTATTTATCCCACCCCACCTCTCCAAATCCCACCTTTTGAGGCTGATTATGCCAAAAAAATTTCCCAAGGCAATGGCAGTTCACTAAAACATTAATATCGCTGAAATAATGTTATGTAAATGCAGTACATGACATTTCCAAAACTCCCTTGAGTTTCAAGTGATTATCTCCAAAATATTTTGAAAACAGATTTTCCTAATATGATGTCCTCAACTCCCAAATTTCTCCACTGGGATGGCCATTGCAGACAATTCTGTAAATGAAATCCATGCAACACAAATGCACAAAGATGATTGCAGACTATTCTTATACACAGATGATGCTTCATAGATGAACCTGCTGGATTTCTTCAGTTATAATTTCATAGTTTTTTATTGTCCATTGTTTATGAACCCTAAGGAGCCCACTAAACTGCTATCTGAATTGTAACTCAAAGTCCAACAGAGTTTAAATAGAGTTATGATACATTATTTTAGGTTCTGTGTGGGTATCTTAAAATGAGGTAGGGCAATTAATTCCAACAAAGAAATAGCAGTTATAGGTCTTACCATAATATCTGTGTATTCCGATAGTTTTGAATCATCAATCTGTTTGTTTGCTTTCTGAAGTAAATCTTTCAAAAAGTTCTGAAACAAAATTAATATATCAAAAAGCAATACTTTGTCTAATCTAGTTACAGAATAAAATATTTTTCTTCTAGTTAATTATGGATAGAGAAATAACATTTTCCCTCTATTAAAATATAAAGGCAATAATCCTAATTCGTACATGCTTGGGGATAAGAATCATTGACCTTAATAGATTTTATTTCTAAGTAGAAGAATGCATCTTTGAAATGCAAAGGACAGAACTATAGTGAATAACACTCATAACAATTGGAAACTTAATCTGTCTTCTACATTCCAGGTGCCTAGTCCTCTCAATGGGGATGATCAGGTAGATTAGCTTGCATTATACCATAATGTAAATCTAATTATTAGCATTATATTACAGAATAATTCTCCACCCAGCTAGCAGGCATAAGGAATGCTTCTATTCCAGTTTATGTTACAAATGTCACATAGTTGGGAGCTGCTGCTCATTCCTCTGGCCAAGTGGTAGCCCTGACTTCATGAATGTTGGTTATTTTGTGGTTTGGGGCTACTTGAAGATGGTTGGAGGTAAGAGTACAAACAGCTTGCCTTTTTTTTATGAGGACAGAAGTCAAACATTAGGGAAAGGGGGTACACGATCCATTAAGTAGTACTGCTTTAGCATTTCCCCATCAACTAGTCCTCAAGCTGAAGTTAGAATTTTGTTTCCTAAACACAGTTCTTCTTAGAGTTCTAAATGTCATCATTTGAATGAGTTTCATATCCCGTACAGAGCTTTATGTAAGAACGAGACTCCCTTTGGGTAGCTGTATGCTGAGCACGCCTGACACATGCAATAGGTCAGAACTAATTTGGATAAGGTAATTTCTCATCAAACACTCATGATTTTCTCTGATACCAGCTTCTTCCAAGAAACAGGCTAGGGGAAAGGGACCTCAAGCCCTTAGAAAAACCCTTGGCCCTTCCCAAAAGTAATTTCAAATTAGATCACAGATTATGCATGACCCTAAGGCTACAGGCTTTCCATTCCTGATCACTCAGTTCTGTCAATGCCTGTTCTTTTAAATGCAGGTTCCATAATTAGTTAGCAGAGCCGAAGTTGCTTTCCTGACCTTGGAAGAAAACTTTGTTTCCCAGATGGGCAGCCAGTTGCCCTACTTTAGTGACATGATAAAATTCTTTATTAAGCTAGAAGTTTTGAGAGCTGGGGAATTATGAATGCCTATCACAAAAAAAACCCCACATATGCTTGTTCTAAATTTCTTTCTTGGTATTATTTTTGCTTTTAATAGGAATGGGTACAAGTGGGAAAATGTGTAGATAATTCAGCTGGTCTATTCTAGGTTGCTCATATTCTAGCTAAGCAGAAGCCCAGAATAATTTGGTTATTCTATCTGAGAAAACTATGAAAGGTCTTAAGATCAGATAGGGCACATAATCTGTGTGTGTTTCCTTAGATCGGCTCTGATAGTGTTTGAAAACATAATCTGTCCACTTATGCCATCAGCTGTCAATTGCCTGTTTATTTATTCATCAAATTTATATAGCTGCCCCTCTCACAAAAAAAGTGACTTGTGGTGGCATACAATAAAAGTATACATGTTTAAAAATATCTAGGAAAAAATGCAATTAAATTGATGGCAGCAGATGTCAACTACAATGGAACTTCCTCAGTACTTCATTCATCCCCTGGGATATCCTGGCCTGATAGTATAACCTGATTTTAAGGGACTTCCATAAATCAACAGGGATGGAGCTGGCTTCCCTGGGTCTTGCCAAGTGCAGCTCCCTAGCAGACAGGATCCATAACATACCTCTTCTGTTGGATCTCATGGGATCTGATGCTACTTGTGTGTCTATCCTCAGAAAAACAATTTTGTGGTAGGCCTTCTTAGTACAATAGTCATCCATTGTTGAAGAAGTTTATGCCAGTTGACACATTAAAAACCTGGCTATATCTCTTGGCATTATCTGGCTTAGGACATTAAGAAGTTCTATGCTATATGTAGTTATATCTGGTTTTATTTGTTAATTTTATATCTTTATCAGTATTTGATTATATATTTGTTGTTTTAAATCTGGCTGAAGGGCAAAATACCTTTAGTAAAAAATAAATCAATTCCTAGGCTGTACTCTTAGAAGATATAACTACATAGATGAATACCTTACCTTCACAGAGAAAGAAGTATTTTAAAAGAAATATAAGCTAGGGCCCATCTCCCTGGTATTTAGCTTTCTGTTTTCCCATCCAATTATTCCTTCAATCCCATCAGAACAATGGTACAATCCAGAAACAGTCTGTCGGCATTCATTTGTAATTATAATTTTTAAATGTTGCTGGTATCATATATTTAGGACAGAAATAGCACAGTAAAGTAAACTCTTAGTTCGGTACAGCTATGTTGTACTGCCTCTACTTTTAAATACTTTTTTTCCCTTCAACTTCTTTCTGCAAATTCTTTTGATGTAGAATGCCCCAAATATTTAAGAAATTATTATAGAGATTTCCTTACCTTAAGCTCTTCGGCATCAATATATCCACTATGGTCACTATCATACTTTCGCCATGTCTGGAATTAAGAAAATAGCAACTCAAAAAATTGTATAAATCTATATACAAAATTTTACACCTTATCAATGCAATTTTTCACAAGACAAAATTTATGTGGATTACCTGCATGAAATCTTCACTAGATTTTAGCTGCTGGCATCTAAAAAATAATAGGAAGTTTTCTTCTGTTGGCAGTATCTGAGCAAGCTGAAAGGAAAAAAAAATTAACTTCAATTTAGAATTGTTCTTCCAAGTAGAATAAAGTACAGATTACTGCACTATGTTTCAAGAAGGAAATAAGAAGCATTTTCACACAATTGTTTAGTGGTTTGTAAATACCAGGTACAATCCATGAATAATTTCTTCTGTATCCAATATACTGAACTATGACATCACTAAACCAGAAATATAAAATGATAGGAGTCCTAATCTGATTAATTTTGTTTTAGCTTGGTGCAATATTTGCTTTTACATTTTATAAGTAGCTAGTAGTGATATGTGAGCTAGCCAAGAGTCTTTCGTTTGTTGATCCAACCTGCACATTTCTATGACATTTAAATCAGTAACCTGGGTTACTAACTTTCTCCAATTTTCAAATGGCTGATTATTATATGCTAATGAAATCTTAATGTTGTAAAGATGTTTCATTGTTAAGAGAAGCAAAATAACTTTTAATATGGATTTGGAGATGAGAAAAGGATCTTCCAACTACCTAGATAATTTTTGTTTTTAAAAGTTGCGGTCTTTTCCACTAATATTTTCAAATTTCAATCAGCTTCAGATAAAGAGGGAAGGAGGAATGATAGGTTCTACATTGTATTCCACAATTTCCTTTAAATTATACCATTTAAGGGATGAAGTACAGTTTCATAAAATACAGTGGGAGGAAGAAACAAGAAATCAACGTTTTAACAGTGGAAAATGAGGAAAAGCTAAAGTCAACATCATCTAGAAAATTAGTAACAGGAGTCCGAGAACAGAGAAATAGTGCATTCAAGACCTTTTCAGAGGAGTATTTGCCTTTGGCTTATTTTCTTGTAGTGCCATCCAAGGAAGTGCTTTACTTTCAAAATCATGAGATGTATCAATTATTTCAATTCAAGAAAGAAAACAAAGTCAAAATAAAATTTGAAGAATAATGTTAATATTTTGAGCTTTCCCCCATATTGAAGTTACTAAGCCGCTGACCTCAGTGGACAAAAATGATGGCCCCTCCAATAAAAAATATTACACTAACGTAAGATATAATGTGAAGAAAGGTAGGCAACAGAATGAATGAACATTCTGCTAATGAGCATCTTGGAATCTTAAAAGTCCCTGGCCATCTCCAGGACTCAGCAGGAGATCACCAATCTTTTGATATTTTATGATTTAGGTCAACTGCTAGGCTTCATCTGGTAGAAGACTCAGTATCAGTGAGGTTAGAGAAATATTGTATTGTAGACTATCATGAAGTTAACATGATAGTCTACAATAGTTAATTTATGGCAGTAAGAATGTGTAAATGACTCCTTTACACACTGTGGCTTCAATTCACTTCTTCCTCCTGCACTTCCCATGAATTAACAGATTCTTGACATAATGCTTGATGGCCTTGAAATCAAGCAGTTACAATCCCTGCCCTGAGAACTGTTGGCTTCAGGTCTAGAACAAATCATCCATTGACACTATTTCAATATTGTGAATATTTTCTGTAACAAATGTCATTTTTGAGAGTGAGAGTGACTTTGGAAAATACCTCCCATAGTGAATCTGGATTTTTTTTTCAGGAGTTGATTTCCAGAAATATCATGGAATACTTGGCCAACCCTTGATCACTAATTGTATGGCAGGGACCAGACGCTTATTTTTCTTTCAGAGGAATTTTTTTTCAGAGCAAAAGATGAAATTGCACCATCTGAAACAGATCCCCAAAAAGGGACACAAACTTTGTAAGATGGTCTGTTTTGAACCATCTTGTGGTCTTGAGAATATCATATGTCATGATTATTGCTGCAACCTGGATACACATCTAGCAAAAATGGTCTTACATCTTTCCATGGTTTATCAGAAAATAATTCTAATCCTCTTAAATACTCTCCTCTAGATTTCTTTAAAGGACACAATTTTCTGTTTTTGCTTGAACAAAGCAAATCCCAAAGCAAGCTGTTGTACTTGACTAAGGAGCACAGATTTAAATTTAGGCTGATCAAGGTATGATAAAAGCTTCAGTTACACTAATATTTTGAAAGGGAATAAATGGTATCAATCTATCCTCTTTTAGTTTATGATGAAATATTAGTAATGTCTTTGCTAAGTTGCATGAATGGCAAGTAGAGCCAGCACAACTGAGTTCACAGAGTTTGCTCAGAGGTATTGATTGAGTATATATCAGGACAAATTCAATCTACTGCCACCCCACTACTATTTTATAAAATCATCTCAAGATGACATGCAAATAACAAATGAGTTCCCTTCAAAATGAGAACATCCAGATAGGAGAAAAATAAATGACATAAATGGTACCCCTTCCATTCCTCAGACTAGAGAACTATAATCTGACTGGGCCATAAGACAAAAGATGGCTGTATAATCTTGTACCTTAGTATTAATAACCCCTGTAAAATATACATGTATTACAGTATATGCATGTCACATATAATGCCCTTACTCCATGAACTGCCCTGGATACCAATTTACTTCCAGGTCCGATTCAAGGTGTTGGTTATCATCTATAAAGTCCTACGTGGCACTAGACCAGGTTCCCTCTCGAACCGGCTTTGCCCAATCTCAGGATCCAGTCTCACTTGATCAAGCATGGACGATATGCTACAGACCACGTCAGTCAAAGAATTTTGACTGGTGAAGTCTAGGAAAAGAGGCTTCTCTGCCGCTTCCCCCTGCTTTGTGGAACATCTTGCTCCCAGAGGTAAGGAAAGTCCCCCAATCTCTTGCCCTTCCACAACTATGGTCCCTTGAGAGCTTCCCCCACCTGTAATAATCCAATGCATCAACTCAGGAAGCTCAAACTGCCCAAGGAGATGCTGATCCAGTTCTACAGAGGAATTATTGAATCTGTCATCTGCACCTCTATAACTGTCTGGTTTGGTTCTGCAACCCAACAAGACAGACACAGACGCCAGAGAGTAATTAGGACTGCAGAAAAAACAATTACTACCAATCTGCCTTCCATTGAGGACCTGTATATTGCACGAGTCAAAAAGAGGGCTGTGAAAATATTTAAAGACCCCTCACATCCCGGACATAAATTGTTTCAACTCCTTCCCTCAGAATGACGCTATAGAGCATTGCACACTAGAACAACTAGATACAAGGACAGTTTTCCTCCGAATGCCATCACTTTGCGAAACAAATAATTCCCTCAACATTGTCTAACTATTTACAAAGTCTGCACTACTATCACTATTAATCTTCTCATCACTCCTTATCACCCATCCCCTCCCACTTGTGACTGTATAACTGTAACTTTGTTGCTTGTATCCTTACGATTTATATTGACTGTTTTCTAGTCTGGTTTGATTGCTTATTGTACCCTATGACTATTATTAAGTGTTGTGCCTTATGATTCTTGACTCTTGACGAATATATCTTTTCTTTTATGTACACTGAGAGCATTTGCACCAAGGCAGATTCCTTGTGTGTCCAATCACACTTGGCCAATAAAGAATTCTATTCTAAGTGATCATCCTAAGATTCCTCCCTTTGGATTGCATTATTCTATGCTTTTGAAATGTTTAACCCTAATTTAATTTTTAATTTCTAATGTTAACTTTTATACATTATTTATTGATTATATTATATTGTACAGTACCCTCTTTTCAGGAGATGGGTGGTTTAGAAATATGAAATATAAATAAATATCATATTTTGTGTCTCTGCACAGCTATGACTGTACAGCATGTAAATTAATGCAGAATAAGAAGCAATCTTACCTCTACAATTCCTATTTTTCCATCAGAACTCTTTGAAAAATGGTCCACAAAAGTTTTCATTTCTGGGGTTAAGCCCTGTAAATATAATACATGTTGATTACTTTTTTTAGGCAAAAACAAAAAGGAAGCAAAATCACACTCCTTCCCAGAAAGTTTAGCCAAATTCCAAAGTTTGCACTGCAGAGTAGATAGAGGCTGACCTCCAGACAGAGGCCGACCTCGTTAAAAAAGAAAAGATAAAGCCTTAATTCATTAAGATATTAACATTAAGAGTAAGAGTAAAAAAATTAAGTTCATGGATGGCTGAAAAATAAAATTATAAAATGAAAAATCTTTGTTCAATTTTGATTACATTTCAGATTATGATTTAAATATATAAAGAAATCTATGACTTAAACTCAAAATTCTTGTTCTATCTAGCTATAATGAATATTAGTCACTACTATGTATTCTTGCCATTCTCACAATTTCAGGGTGTTCCCTTTAAAAGAACTATTTTTCCTCTTGACAAAGTATGTGAAAAGCGTTCCAGAAAGGGAGTTTTACACTCTTTTACACTGAGCGTTCAAGAAACAGTGATAATCTACTCCTTCCATCATATGTACTCAACCAGGAGTATGCAGAAGATGGGTGGCAATATCCATTCAGATGTACTTCTAAATGCACGCAGCAACACAGTAATCCAGGGAGAGTGGGTCAGCCCATTGCCAAATAACTCTCTTTTTTACATAAACTAATCATGCCTATGACTAAAGATTGGCACAAGAGAACCATGAAACCATCAGCACAGCAGAACATAATCAGAAGTGATTGCCGAGTTTCTTGGGAAAACATTTTTTCCCTTTCTGCTGAGAATGGGATCAGTGGGCAGGTTCAAGCTGCACTCAGTTTGGCTGGTACACTGTAAAAGCTCATTTTTTGCCTTGGAATGAATCTATATTATGCTATGCTACATTAAGCTAGTTGGTATTCCCTATGATTTTTAGTAGATTTGCTCTAGGCATAACTATGTTTGGATCTGACATATAGTTACAGTATACATTATTACCAATGAGCACCATATGTTGCATGTGAATGCTGACAATTCTCAGACAAAGAGAATTCAGTTACACAGTACTGAATATTCGAAATATATGAATGCAAATAGCCAGATGTTGTTCCATGATGGTTTTAAGAGCATCACTTTACAATGAAATCTGATCCAAATAAAGCTGCCTTTTGCAATTGACTGATGGTAATTTGTCAATGCTGATAATGTTCAAGTGGTGTTTTGGGAGTGCATCTAAGGTGCCTATTACTATTGGTACTATTTTTGCTTTCTTTTGCCCTAGTTGTTCTACTTCTAGTACATAACCATTGCCATGTCTTGTTATCTGCTTTGCCTGCTAGAGGAGTCCTCCTCCTCCTCCTCCTCCTCCTCCTCCTCCTCCTCCTCTGTTCAGGCTATGAAATACTTTGCCTTGCCATGTCTCTCTTCTATTGTTCATTTGGTTTTTCTTATAGGACAGTTTTGTTTCTCTGTTATTCAGTAAGCCTTCAGTAAGTTATTCAATAACATTCAGTAAGTCTTCATGGTGTACCAACTTCAGTGCATCCTATTCAATCTCCTTCAGATATTCTTCTTTAACTTGCAACTTTCATGCTTTCCTATGCTCATTGGTAAGTAGAGTCTGTCAACATTGATACTTGGACAATAGACACGATTCGTTGTCATTATCTTTCTGGACTTCCTATCCAGAAGCTTTTGTTTTGCTTGAGTCCAGGAAATATTGGAATAGATACATATTCCAGATGTAAATCTAATGACTGGAACTAAGCAGGTGTTAATTGCCTTGATAGTATTGTTTGGATCTTATGATCTTTTTCACTCAAATGATGCCTTCACTTCTAACATTATTGTTATTATACTTGATCTCATAACCTGATGTTCAGTCTGCATTTATCCATCTAATGACCTGGGATAGGCAAATGATGTTTAATGGTATGTAAGCTGTTTCAAATAGCTATCTTTTGCAATTGACTGATGGGTATTTTGTCAGTGCCCATGGTGTCAAGTGGTGTGCCAGTTCTTTTGGTATCATACCCAACAAGGCACCTATTATGACTGGTACAATCTTTGCTGTCTTTTACCATAGTTATTTTACTCCTAGCTGCATATCTTTTATTTTGTGGTTTTCTCCAGTTCACTCTCTTCTATTCTGCTGTCTTCAGATTCTTCAATGTCCTGTATCCATACTTTTTTTTTCTTCTCAACAATTGTTAAATCTGTTATTATTATTTTATGCTGTTTGGTGTATGTTACCATATTATGTCACTGTTTTTATTGTGCTTCTTATCTGTAAATTGTTTACAGTCCTATGCAGAAATATATAAGGCAGACAATAAATAAAAATAATACAATTATTAACTTTTCAATCAACAATCCATACTCATTACAACTAAAGTATCATGGTTTCAATGTGACATGTAGAATAATGACATAGGATTCTCATAAATCCTGAAGAGAAACTATTGGAAGGTATAACAAGTATAATCACTTATAATTATTTATCAATGCAATGGTGAGCACCTGGAGTTATCAGCGACTTAGCTTTTTTGGCAAACCTTGTATTGGAAAATCAAACAAAAAGAAAGAGAGGTGAAGGGAGATTTTTTCCATTCTCCTTATAATTAAAGCAAATCTGAAATGGGACAAAAACATCCAGAACTTAAGGCAATTAACTGTGGCATGAATGAAATTGACTCTGCAACTAAATGTGGCTGTGCAACTAGCTAATGATTAAATGTTAGTACCAAGCTATGTTCATACTGTGATCATTTTACTGGGCACTTATTAATTAGACATAAAATTCAACAGAAATCAAACGCTCGGTAAGCCATCTTCCTTAAACTAACATCATCTAACTAGATGACAGTGAACAAAAAAATATGCCAGCTAAGATATTCATCCTACCAGTTGTAGTCCTAAATCATCTCTAGGATGTCTGAGTATGAAGACAGCTGTTGCAGATAAGCCTTGCCCAGAAACCAGTAAAAAATAGTTCTCATCAATATTCAGAAAAAATATGTATTGTATGCTATGAGTGCCAACAACTTCAACAACTTTTAAAAATGTCAAGTCACACATCAATTTATTTCTATTTTATTTTTCTTTCAAGAAAGCATTTTCAAACATCTATGTTAGACACATGAATTCCTAATGATTCTAATTGTCCACCATTCAGCGTGTGAGAGTGTGCGTTTTTGAATCTGCGTATTTTTGTATACTGTGTGCAGAGCTGTTTCGTGGCCACAAAGGGGCAGAAACATATTTCAGCTTATATAGCAAGGTTAAATTCTTACTCTAAAAGAAATTCCTTTATTCACACTAAAAAATCCACAGTGCAAGTAAACATTTCAACAGAGGAAAAACCAAGATGGTGAAGTAAAAGCATCTAGTGATCAGAGTGCACGGTAGTTTTCTATTTTTATCTTATAATATCAGGCTAATCCACTTTTTAAATTACTGGTTCCGGAACTATAACCATATTTGACTAATCTCCAAACAACTAGCTGAGAAGAACTGTGTACACATTACCACCAAGAGATTAACGCATGGGAAGGAGGAAGAAATGACAAAGAATGAATTCTGTCTCACAGATATTGCTCAAATCATCTAAGCAGCAAAACAGATGACATAATGGAATTTAAAAAGCAGGCGCCTGAAAACCAAAATGTAAGTAATGACAGCACCTACAACAGCATTATCACTAAACCCCTCGACATACTTCAAACAGACATGAATTGGTACTTAACAAGATGATAGTGCAGAGGACTTCTAACACGGGGAAAACAAGTTCCCTAGACCTTTTAGATATAACAGTCTCTTCTCCTGGGGCAGCTTCATACTCAACTGCAGTATCTCCTATTTAAAAAAAAAAAAAGACTTCCAGGAAGAGATTTCTAAAAATGAGACTACAGAACTCATATCTAAGCAAAGTTCATCGATTGCACAGACCGCAGTACTAATTTTTTACTATTTAACAGAAACAAAATTGAACGTGGATTCACTGAAAGAGTCCCTTGATGCATTTTCCCAAACCTTCCGCAATGAATTGACTCACCTTGTTGAAGCAGGAAACTGTGATCCAAAAATGCTCAAGCGACTGTAACCCTAAATACAAACTTTATACCATGAACTGATGGAGAAAAGGGAACAAACTCCAAATAAATCTGCCTTCCAAACTTTGAGGCATAGGAAGTCTGAGGATCAAGATCAAAACAACCTCATGTTGCAAACTAATCAGATTTACTTACAAATCAGCTTTAATAGTCTCAGCAGTAGATAGTGAGATTCAAGAAAGCAATACATTACTCCCTAAGTCAGCTACTTCTATGTCATAATTGTGTGATTGATTTATATTGGGCGAAATGGCTGCCTAGCAAGATGGACCGTACACAAATTTTGCTGACATTCAAGCAGTCTATAATCCCAAGTATGCTTTTCAAAATTAAATCCATGCTGACCACTTTCCTCATATTTCCACTACATCTTTTTGAGGCACATATCTACCCACTCATTGAGCGATTACATCAAGATACTACCATACTTTAATTTTGAGAAATCAGGAGTGGATGTTGTTGCCCCAATTACAAAGATAACAAACCAGCCCTATTCTTGGGAGAAGCTTATTTAGATAAGTAACTTCAGGCAGAGAGAGAAGGACAAATTGCAGCTGAACCGCTGGAAGCAGAAATAATTGAAACCTTTGGAACTTTTCCAGGTTACAAAGAGGAGGACTTAGTAGAGAAGTTAGAGGACCTTACACAAACTTAATCCACAGTGGACAAGACAATTGCCCCATTGATTTGGTTTCTGTTCCCCATGCAGAAGGTTCAAAAGTGCTATTAATATGAACTTGTCTCCAATGTTCGTCAAAGAGAGACAATCAGACAAACAACTAACTTGTGTCATTGAAGAACCCCAACATACCACCAGGAGCTGCAAACATAGACCCACATATAACTGAGTTTGCAGATCAGCACTTACAGGTTTCTCAGCCTCATTAAAGGGCACCTGGATATCTGATATACACTGCTCCAGTGCTGCAGTTGACAGTGCAGGAATCGTGGGATATATAACTCCCCCTCTCAGTGTTTCTCAGGAAATGCCTACATCAATAACTTTGCCTAGCCCAACTGAATGACATCCAACTAATATTTACTTCCCTGTCTTTTATTTCCTGGAACATCACAGGATGGAAATCCAGGAGTAGAGACCCATCTTTTCTGGCATATAGTTATGACATAATTTTTTTTCCAGGAAACATTGTATGTGGCTAAACTGTTAGTCAAAGGGCTTAAGACAATTACATTGGAAGCTGTGCCTAGCATAAGACATGGAAGGCTTTGTGGGGGCTTAGGCATTCTAACATCTGCCTCATTACAAGCTCAAATAACTAGTTTACAACTAGCAGACCGATATGCATTGGCAGCTTTCCTGCAATTCAGGAAGAGCCAACTCCTCGTCATTAATGAGTATATTCCACCCCTGCAAATATGATTACAGATGAAACAAGGGATAAAATATATACGTATGTGGGAGATTTAAGGATTGCATTCCCACTAGTATCACTTAATACTAGTGATGACTTTAACGCAAGAACTGGAGCCAACAATAAATCACTCTTTGCTAAACTCCATTGCCAGCCATTGTTTCCTGGAATAACATCTATTTTACTCTGCCAATCTAAGGATGTATTGTATTCAATGACCGTAGAGGATTTTGTCTCATTTCAAACTTTTATAAAACCATCTGGTAGTATTAAATGGGACCACCAGTGATGATTATCCAGTTACGTTTACCCACTGGTCCTGTAGCAATACTTTCCTATTAGACTATGCTGGATGTTCCAAAGCTTAATTCCCTATCTATCTAACTTTGTTACTTTGCACCTGAAATTTTTTGACAGGTTGTTTTTACCCTTTTACCACATGCAAGTGTGGCCCGTGACCTTTGCCCTATTCATGATGAATGGACACCTCGGCATGCAGCAATAATCACCAACTTTCTTTGAGGGAAGTCAACCAAATCTCTTTACTCAGCCATAGTGGATAGCAAGTTAACTGTAATTGTTCTGGCTAGCTTCAATAACCTAACAAAATTATTTCAATCATTGTTAACTGCCCTCCCCCAACTTATTACAGTTAGGCATGATCCAAAGTTGTAATTTTCTAAATTGTCACCTAAAATTATTTTGAAACAAACAAAATTGACCTAATGAAATTAAAAATACAGCAGTACTGTTGATGTATTAAAAAGAGAGGGGGAATGCAATGTGGGTATTTGATAACTTTTGATTGTGGTTGCCAGTGCAAAAAAAAATCCTGCCATCTTTTGGGGAATGGTAATTCCATCCTTTTCCAATAACATAATAGCTATTCATTGCATACCATGTTGTTGCCCTATGTGGGAAAACAGAGAATTCCCTGATTGACTTGGGTATGACCTCTCTTTTCCCACTGAGCCTGCCACATATTCAGAGATCAGAAATATTAAACTAGGTATAAAAGGCCCCAGGTTCAGAATTTATTATGTATGAATAATAAAAAAAATAACTTGGAATGATAGATGCCAGTGCTAGCTTCACTTTTCACAGCAGCAGCTCATTTGGCCATGATACCAAAGGATTGGGGCTTGACTAGTATAATACCAAGAAGGGCAAAAGGGATGATCCAGCTAACTACCGCCCAATCAGTTTGCTAAGACAGATTAGCAAAATGTATGACAAATACCTGCAGGAGGCAAAACTAATTGACGGACTTGAATCTAAGGATATCCTTAGGGATGAAGAGGCTGGGTTTAGAACAGGACAATCAACATTAGAGTCGGTGCTGCAATACTTTGCACAACTCAGGACAGCCCTTTTATTCAGCATTTATCGATTTCAGGTCAGTTTAGATCTATCTAGATTTAGTTTAGATTAATATATAGAATTTAATTAATTGGCATTAATTAATTAAATTGACATTAATTAATCAATTGGCATTAATTAATTAAATTGACATTAATTAATTAATTTAATGGGCATCAATTAATTAAATTGGCATTAATTAAAAAACTACCACAAATGACAAATGTCTATTCCTGCTGCTTATCCAAATGCATGAGAAAACTGATCAGACTGATGGTCAAGTGCAGTAATACAGGATGCGTCACAAAAGAAATACCTGTAAGGAGGGGAAATAGACCAGACTGTGTATTGGTTCCAGATTTATTCAACTATTATGTAAACTCATTAATGCTTCACCTAAGTAGCTCTACCTTCCATTCCCCTAAATTAGCCCAAAGACACACCAGTTTACTTTTGTTTGCCAATGATGTGATAATCCTGTTATTAACCTCCATTGGCCTTAAAAGAGCTCTGAGATAACTTATCATCACTGCACTGAGGAGGAACTAATAATAAATTATGCTAAGACCAAGATCCTTACTTCCTCTAAATGCCCAAAATAGAGAAGCAATCCATTGAGCAGGTTAAGGTGGGCAATCCATTGAGGTGGTTAAGATTTTTAGATATCTATTACTGCACTTAACCATCAGTCTTATCAGTTTTCTCATGCATTTTGATGATCAGCAGGAATAGACATTTGTCATTTGTGGTAGTTTTTTAAATTTATGCCAATTTAATTAATTTATGCCCATTAAATTAATTAATTAATACCAATTTAATTTTCAAGCCTCTCAAAGCAGAAATGATCACCTGGATTATGTTTCCCACAATGGACAGAGTTGTGCATCAACTTATTATTTTTCCAGAGGACCACAGTTTATTTCTGCTGCAATTAAGTTTTTTGAAGCTAAAGCCCAAGCACAATTGCTATACAGGGCTCAATTAAAACCACAGAACAGTATGATCATCTTAGGAAAGATTCAAACAAAATTTCTAAGAAGTATCTTCCAGGTTACCTGCTACATTTCAAATGCAGCACTTCAACAGGAAGCAGGAGTCAATAAATTCGAAACTAATCTCTGGATAAATATCTTTACCTACTGATTGAAAATACTTCACCATTCTAGCATACTGACCCATTTAATATTGACAGACAATTACATATATTCCTGAGAAATAGCGATCCAAAGGACGCCTCTATGGGTCTGTAGAGATTCTCGGTCATCCAAGTCATGGTTGTCGCATAGGTGCTTTTTCAAGAGGCAACTGGGCTTTCTTGTCTTTTCTTTTGAAGATGTTTCACTTCTCATCCAGGAAGCTTCTTCAGCTCGGACATACCAGATAAACCTCCATGTGCTTCAATAACCCTCTAAAAGGATGCAAATTACCAGCTGTCTACAAGGAATATAAATCCTTCCATTCCCCACTATTCTGTCAGAGCTGAAGGAGCTTCTTGGATGAGAAGCGAAACATCTTCAAAAGAAAAAAAAACACCAAGAAAGTCCAGTTGCCTCCTGAAAAAGCACCTTTAGATGAGCCTCTATGGTTCTCCAGTGATGCCATCCTAAAGTTAGATCAAGCCAGGTCAATACTAAAGCCAAGGATCTTAGATACAGAAGGTCTTTTTCTCACAACATAACTGGAAATTCAAATATTAACCAGTTTCATATTTATATCACATCACATCTCTCCAATTTAGAATAGTTTTATCCTTAGCTCCATTTAATGTTCTCCCCAAGTATAGGAAAACCATATGAAACCCAATATTGCTCCTGTGATGTGGGTGCTATAGAAACCACAGCCCATGTTCTTCTCTAGTGCCAGTTTTACAGGGATGTTCACAGAAAGTTGATCACACCTGTTTTATTCAAATTGCAAGGCATTCTGATAGCTTTTATCTGCATACATGTTAAATAATAAACTTCTTTCTCAAGTTGCAAAAATATGTATAAGGTTTACCTACAAATGGTTGCTAATGGTTTTTGTTGTTGGGGGAATAGCATTGTCTTGTTCATTTCATTGATTGTCTTTTTATTGGCAATAACTGGAATAAAGTCTTTCTGTCTTCCTTTTCAAATGCTGTTTAATATTAACCCAGAGTTGGAATGATCCAGTTGAGAGGTTGATTCACAAGGTTTTGCTTTTTATCTGGATTCCATATTTCCCAGCCACAACTTCTCCATTTCTCCAGTTTTACCCATTTACATTTAAGCTGATATATGCATGACCAAACTATGTACATGGTCATCGTCATCCATTACTGGAGCATGGTTATTGGAGTTAAATATTATTTTTATTTTTATTAAATCATATAATGCCACCTAACTCCCAGCTACTCCGGGCATTTTCCTATTCCTATAACATTTACAAAAGAAGAAGAAAAAAAGGCCCATCTTAACCTACCAAGCCAGCTTTCTGTCGTGCCTGCTGCAGTTCTTGGATAAAACCCTGCAGTTCGTTTCCATCCATGTATCCATTGCCTGTAACACCAAGAGAGAGAACACAATGGTTACAGCTCTAAGTGGTTTCTCTCTTTCCTCCCTGCGTGCAAATTAACAGAGCAATCCCGTGCTTAGATAAAAAGTCCCACTGAGTGCAACCAGACTTCGGGAAATACTTATACGGGTTGCAGTCTTGGTTTCAGCCTCCCCAAGAAGAACGCCCCGTTTCCTTCTAGATTACGCGACTGTGTTTTAACCGGAGGCGCTTCGGACTTTTAGAGGCTTTCAGCTGCCGAACGAAGGGTAAAGAGCTAGAACTCCCAACGCCATCGGAGCGACCGACCGCTCGGAGGCTGGTCCGCCCCTCGTCCTTCCGAAAATGTCGGTTTTCTCCCCTCGTTTCAGATGGAAAGAAGTAAAAGTTGTAACTTGCGCCCGACAAAGTTTCCTGCTTACAGGTAGAGCAACGAGGAGGAGGAGGAGGACACCGTCGCCAAGTCCCTCGCCGAGCTTTGCAGTTGAGTGTTTTCACCCCCCACCTACCCACCCACCCACGTCCCTCTTTCTCTCCCTCCCCCTTCAGTTCCGAGCTTGACGGAGTTAGGAGAATGGGACAATGCTGCAATCAATCACCATCAGCGTCGTAATGGCGCCAGATCGCGAAAAACTGGCTTGCCGAGACCGTCGCTTCTTGCAGGTAAGCCTCCGCGGTCATGGCGCGAGTCTTGGGCAAGCGGCGGGCGCAAGCGAAGCAG